ATGCTAATGGAAAGCTTCTTCTCCGCTGAAGAGATGCGCAAACAACAAGAACAGGACAAGGGGGATGTGCGTTGTGCGTGCGCAAGTGTAAAAAAAAAAACGCAGAAAAAAAAACACTACAAACCTTCTCGGTATCGTCAATACGGTAATGATGCAACCAGCATGAAACCTAAACACTCCAACAATGGCTGGTCGTGCTTAAACAGAGTCATGTGGACTTGGGGTCCCGCAACACGTCAAACTGTCGCTTAGGATGGATGAAGCGGCATCCCTAAATTACGCAGCGGGGATTTCCAGCCGCGGTCATTGTCTAGCATTGTCTCACCAAAGACGACGCTTGCGTCGGGATTCGCACGCGCCTCATATTGCATCTCCGACTCATAGCCAAAGAGCGTGTGCGTAAAGCAGTCATAGCCTATGGTGAAGTACATCACAGTCGTCGTGAGGCAGCCAAGACCAAATATTCGCATCGGTGCCCACATAAATGATTGCCTTAATAATTGATTGCGGTCTGCGCGTGTGTCGTTAAAGCGTACCTGCATGATACCACGCCAGCTTCGGGTACGGCGAATGATGGGGTGTGGGCTCGGGAACTTGCCTATTGGACGGCCCGTTACAGGCGGCATTCATCCACCCCATGCGTTTACCACCGAGCACGTCCCCTCCCGGATCCTGCAGCTAAACAGAAAAAAAAAAAGAGCAGGGAAGAGAAAAGAAAAGAAAAAAAACACGCACCAGTAGCATTCAATCCATGAGCAGCCGAGTAGGAATGTACAGGCCACTTTGCCCCATGCATGGGAGTGGAGATATATATATATATATATATATATATGCATTCACCTAGCGATGAATGTGTGTGTGTAGGGAGGGGAGGGGGGTTGTGTTATTTTTGTTTAGATCGTTATTTTTCACGTTTCACTTCTTGTTTTATTACTGTTCGCCTTCGGTTTAACGCCCACCCACATCGTCGCCACGATCAGCCACCGCGAGATGCGATGCTCACCTGGATGATTTCTTCGCCCGCGTTGCCCCTTTCTTCGATGCGGTGGCTAGTCGCTTCTTCGAATCCCGTCGCCCTGACGAAGACGTCGCCGGCAGAGTTACCTCATCCACGTCATGGAAGCACTCCTCCTCGTCGTCGTCCTCGTCACCAGCGGCGGCGGCGCCTGCACGAGCAAAGCCCGATGTCTCAGCCTCCTCACGCTTTTCCTTCTTTTTCTTCACCTTACCGTCAGCGGCCGCCTCCCGTGTCCGCTTATTCTTCTTCAGATCCTTGCGCCCCTCTTCGAGCGAGGTTCCCTTAAAATAGGCAGCCTTGTCCTTCACACCGTAGCGCTCCATGTAGCCATCCTCGTCAAACGCCTCCTCGTCGTCTCGTGGCATAAGCTCCGATGCTAGCGGCGCGCTCTGCTCATCGCCGAGATCAACACGAATAACGTGGCCGTGCAGACGCGACCCGTGCAGGTGCTTCTGCGCGTAGCGGGCGTACGCGGGCAAGGCGAAGACAATGCGTGCGATGCCTGTTGGTAAGCTTGTGCTTTTGTTCACGAGGATCTCACAACTCACAATCCTCCCGCAGATGTCGAAGTGGCTGCGGAGCTGTTCCTCCGTAACCTCATCCCCGAGGTTACCTACTAACACCTCCGTCGGCCCCACCTCCAGCAGGTTGTACTTCTCCGTCACGCCGGTGATGTTGCTCGGTTTGCCCTCTCTGACCGTCTGTCGCTCCGCCCCCTTCACCTCCTGCCGCGTGGCCGGTGCTCGTACCACCCCTAACGGCAGCACAGGCGCTTCATCCTCCGCCGCATTCGCGCCATCGTGCGCACTCCCCCTCTGCTTCGCCCCATCGTAGGCGTCAGCACCCGTCGAAACAGCGTTCCCCGTGTGCAACTGGTTGTGGTTTGGCGACTTTGAGTATGGCAGCGAACCCGGGGCGGCAGCGCGTGCGGCAGTGATTCGGCGGCCCAATATAAAGAAACCGTCAAGAAATTTCACCGCCGACTCCACGTCCTCGGCAGACACAAAGGTCAAAAACGCCTTTCGATTGTTGGAGGTCATCTTGATGGACTCAAGCCGCTTCTCCAGCTGCGGTGCTACATCGCACAGAATCTCGCGCAGAATATCTGGCTGAGTAATCTTCGCCAGATCGGCCAGGAGCACCTGGCGGGCAAAACTACTCTTCCCCGCGTCACGGCCGGCGTCTGCATCGCTTGCCACCATGTCCTTTGGCTTCGGCACCTCCACCCGCAGCGTACGACCCAGAAATTTCCGTCCATTCAGCACCCGCACCGCCACATCCACACTGTGAGGAGAGTGAAAGACGAGAAAGCCAAACCCCTGACCGTCCTTCTTGATGAGGCGAATGGGTCTGCCAACCCTCCACGCCGCTGCAAACTGCATTAACTCCTCCTCAAGTGACGCGGACCCTGGTGTCGCCTTGTGCTCGTAGGGCAAACCGTCAATGAAGACCTTGTTGTTGAGCTTCTTTGGCAGCTCCGTGCCACCCAGCAGCATCGTTGTGACGTGCCGCTCCTTACGGGCAACTGTGGAGCACTTTTCAGTCGCCGCGTGCGCAGTCCCCACTGGCGCCGCTCCGTTCGCGCCATCTTCGCCGTTGCCATCGTCCAGCGACCTCAGAGCAGCTGCCTCAGAGCGGCCTGCAGCTGCGTAAAAGAAACCGCCACCGCGACCGCGGCCCCTCCCGCGCGCAAGACCCCTACCGCCACTGTCACCGTTGCGGCTTGCGGCTCTGGGCGCAACGGAGAAGCCGGCAGTACCACGACCACCACGAAAGCCGACTCGCCCTTGCCCGCGTGCGTTCATTCTTTCAAGTTGCTTTCACCCGTTTCCCTCCCTATCCTACTCGCTAAGAAAACGGAAAAAGGAATGGAGAAAAAAAAAAAAGTATAGTCACACCAGCAGCAACGGCGGCAAGGGGAAAAGATAACAGGAGCAGGTGAACTGACGAGAGGACGTCTGCAAGGTGCAACTGCGCAAGCGTGCATGCGACTTGCTTGCCTTCTTTTTTTCCATTTTTGTCTCGTTGACTGTTGCTGCTTCCGTTGTACGCGCGTTTGGGCGTATTGATACAGCGATGCACCCGCTCACTCACCCTCTCACCCCCTCCTCACCCTCCTCCTCTCCCATTCCCGTACACCCACCGACGTCCCTTCGCAACTGTCCCGTCTAACACTATGACTACCCCCTCCCCCCTCCGATTGCTACTCCCACTCTCACTACGACAACTGTTGGCTACTACTAAAGGGGAAAACAAGAAGTTAGATCCCCCACTGCCTCCCTCACTCTACCAGTTGCCCGCCTCGTGCCACGCACGAAAGTTTGGTACGTCAAAAAGCAAGGGGCTTGTCGTGTCCTGGTGCGCCCAGGGATCATCCGCAATTGTGTTCAATGATATCTTCGTCACACGCTCCACCAGTATTCGCGAGACACGCGTTTCGTGATGACGACCTGCAGCCACCATCATCAGCGCATCGGCCAGCTTCTCCGAAATACGCCAAAACATCAGAAAACTGATGAAATTATTCTGCATGTGTTTCCGCACAAAAGACACCGCAAGAGCCGTCACGGCGGCCTCGTCGTGAGCCACCTCCAAGGCATTTCTGTAGAAGTCTATAAACTGAGCCTTAAACTCACAAGTGCACGGCTTCTTTAGGGAGGTAAAGTCCTTGAGAACAGCGCCCCACTACGCCAGTTCAGGGCCGACAGCATTGTCCCTGACCAGCTCCTGCAGCAGCTCCTGTGTGGTCAAGCCATCGCCCGCACCGATCGGCTCCACCTTGTAGTGTGCGATATCCCGCAGAGGCTGGTAGTGTTCCTTCTCCAACCGGTTGTATTCATCTGCGGAAAAACTGTTACTGCTGTCGTACGCAATGCCTAAATAATTACCCGTAAGACTCGCGGCCACGCTGGTGGATTTATTGATCGCGGCGCGCGTGTTATCCACACGTGGGAGCATGTCACCCTGCGCGTACGGTTGTGTGCGGCCCGTCACCGACGAGCCCCAGTACTCCACGCGGCAGCGCTGAAGCAGCAAAGCCGCAACTGCGGCCGCACAAGCCCCGCGTGCCCCTGCATAAAAAGCTAACATGAACCCCTTACTTCTCCTTCTTCTCTCATTGTGCTGGATTTCCCCGACGAATTTCGTGCTTCGTGGAAAACACAAACGCGCACACGTGCGGTGGCGCCCACAGCAAGACAAAGCGGCAGAGGAAAAAGGGCAAAATGGTATCACGTCGCAGCATCCACCACACACTTCCCGGTCCCCTGCCGTGGACGCATGTACGGAGAAGGATGAGGGGGGAGACACGACTGCTGCGGGCGGTGGCGGCAACCCCAAAAAGCGTACACAAAAAGGGAGGGCGCGGGAGGTCATGTAGTGCTTGGCACATGTAAAAGAGAGCGAATACACACACTACTAAAAAAAAAAGGTGGAGCGCGGCCATGTGCATGGCCTTAGTTTACATTCCATCGCCTCATCCGAACCATCCCACAGGGAGAGAGGAACGAAGAGTGAGAGGGACACAGGCGCAGAGCCACATATACAACGTCACAGCCCTCCCTCTTACGTGTGCTATCTGGAAGCACGCCGCCAACAATCAAAACAACCCCGCAACAAATTCCAGCCAGCGGGGCACCATTGTTGTTTTTTTACCATCAATGGGAACGCTTCTTTCTGCTCTTGTCGCGGAAAGCGACGACCGCCTCTTCTGCCGCATGTTCTAGTCTTTCTAGACGTGCCTCCACCTCCTCCAACGAAAACACCGCATCCGCCGGGTTCGGAATGGGCTGCAAAGATGGCACTGGAGTCGCTGCCACACGGCCACCTGATGCTCGGCCTCGAACGGAGTTTTTGCGCAGTTGCATGGACCTCCGCTTTGTGCCTACCGAGGAGGAAGCTGCGGGCCCCACCTGTGAAGAGTGTGTTGGTGTTAGCAGTGTGGTCTCTGGCGGCTTCTCATCGGCCTTGATCTTTCCCACTGCCTCGTTCCGTTCAATGCATTTATTCAGGCGCAGAGCAAAGCTGCGGGCCACCCGCGCGTAACCCGGGGCGTCCAGTGCGTTTCTAATGTTGTCCTCCTCAGCCTGGCGCTCCGTTTCTCGCAAGCACGCCAATAGATCATCTCGTTCCCGCTGGAGCAAAAGAAGAGGCTGCATAAATTCCTCCTCAAAGGAGCTCCTGATGACCTCTTCACACGCGTCCAAAAGGCTCTGTCGTTCTTGCGCAATGGCATACATATCATCCTGCAAGAATTCCATGAGCGGCGGCACACAGAAACTGCACACATCCCACTGAACCTGCACCTCCTCGTGTGCCTCGACGGGTTGCGGTTCGGCCAAAAAAGTGCGGAACAGCCTCCAATGCCGAACCACGGAGGAGGAAAAATACTCTAGTATCTGTGCCACTTCGTGGAGGGTAAAGTAGGGGCCCACCACAATCTCGGTTAGCAACCTCTCCTCCTGCAACGCCTGCCGTGTACAAGGAATTGTTGGGACATTCTTCAACTGCTCTCGCAGCATGCTCTTCCGTTTTTTGTTCTTCTCTTGCGCAATTTGCACCTCCAGGGCGGCCACAATCTGCGGGTCTTGTACCTCCGAGTTCACTGTCTTCCACGAGTTGTGCGTTTCTACGACTTTCCGCGGCAGCCCGCAGGCCTGTTCAACCAGCAGCTCCTCCAGCACCTGTGCACATCGCCTTTCCGCCCCTTCATCGGTGGTGTCCGGTGGGAGGTCTGCTACGACGTTCATGAGATGCATCGCGGTGAGCAGGACGCACCGCGCCTGCTCCGCTGAGAAACCACGGTACGCCGTGAATTTAATGAGATCCTCGCACCACTCTCCCAATGCCACATGCCGTAGCTCCTCCTGCGTCGCCTCCCGGTAGCGGAGCGGTGCAGAGGCAGTGTCCTCCGATAATGACGGGGCCACCACTATGTCTCTTCCCAGGGCAAGGGAAGCGTCGTCCACAAGGTCGTCCAGCCCCGGCGTGTGAAACCCAAGTGCACGGAGAACACCAATGCGAAGAAGATATGAGGCGGATGGGGTACTTCCGCGTGGGTCGCTTATCGCGGAGTGCTCCTTTGGCCAGTACTCCTCGTACCGCTTCTCCTGCACGATTCGTGATAGCACCCGCGTACTTTCGCGCGACTGCGCCAAGGGAATGGATAGGAGACCGAATTCATGATCCGCCTTGCAGGCATACCGCAGCAACTCCTCGACCAGCGTCAGGGAAAAAAAGGTGGCCTGATGAATAGGGGCATGCAGCAAAACAGAAACAAACCGTTTCCGTCTTTGTTGCTGCTGCACCTCCTCCGGTGGATTCATTGGTTTCGCTCTCGCTACACATCGCATGATGCGAAACCAATGGAGAAGCAGAGGCAGAGAGAGATTGCGAAGGCAATAATATCACGCAGGGATTGGGGTGGATGCAGTGGGGGGGGGGGGGGGGGCACAAGGAATACGTCGACGAGAGGTGCACTCCGCGCAACAAACCACGCTGTTCATATAAGGAAAAGAAAAAGAGAGAAGAAGGGGGGGGGGGTTCAGCATTGTCGATGACGAAAACTCTGTTCTTTTTCTTCCTCCTCCTGCTGCCACCAGGCAAAACAAAAAAAAATGTATTCCTGTCATTTTTTTTTCTTTTTCTTCTTCACGCTCTTTCCGTCTTATCCTGCCTTCTCCCTCACGCCGCCTCGTTCATCTCCCTTTTTATCACATGTTCAGCTTCACTGCGCTACGCTCTCATCATCACACAGAAAGAGCCGCTCTAGCTCCGACGTTATTTCCGAGGCAGTGCCGTGGCAGGCGGCAGCCAGCAAGGCCTCCTTCGTAGCAGAACTCATCTTGGGCGTGGTCGGCACAAATTCAACCACGCTGCCGTAGAGAGAGAGCAGTGAGCTCTGCAGGTAACCCATTGTGAAAACGGCCTGCGGATGCGCCTTTTTCACCGCGTCCGCCTTCTCGAGTAACTGCTGATGTTCCTTGGGGAAGCACGTCACAGCCGTTTGCTGGTCCCCCTGCAGCTCCTGAAGGGCTTCCAGGAGGCGGAGACTTTGCAATCCCGTGTTGCACGCCGTAATGCATGGCACAATGCGGGAGAGGTTAAACCGTACCGCCTTGCCATGAACGTTCACAGTGAAATCCACCTCGATCGAGCGCTCGGAGGCGCAGTAACTAATAAACCGTTTTGTGACAGCCAAGGTCTGCAAGGAGCCGGTAGTGAACAACGCGTACCTGTCTCCGTATTTGACCCCTAGTTTGTGGTGAAAAAATGTGTCCTCGTAGCTCAATGATGACATTTTCTCTTGATAAATCTCGGGGGTTCCAGGCAGCAATTTAAATATCCAACTATGCATGTCTCTGGCGCTAAATTTTCCCTGCACCTCCATCGTAGAAAGCGCGGCGGGACCTTCTTCTCCTGTCATCACTTCATCGACTTTGCCTACACGCTCGTACAGAGGTAATGGCCGCAGCTGCACCATCTTCACCTGTGCAGTGCGGGGGGCGGGGACTGCCAGTGCGGTTACGCTCACCATCCCCCAGTGACCATCCTCCACCCAGAAGGTAACAGAGCAGCTGTACCTTCGTGTCTCCAAGGGTCGCACAATGGCGAGTGATTTCATGGAGGGGTTGTTTCGTGGTATTGCCTCTTGTACAATGACCTCTGCAGAATCCTTGTCTAAAAAATGCAGCTGAACCTCACTCTGGAGCACCACGCAGTCCAGCGGGGTGTCTACCTCCACCAGAAGTCGTAGTGCGGGGTCGTCTTTCTGTTGCGATAGCGTCACTTTGGTCTTGAAGGTGGAGGAGACGGCCAGCAATGGCGTGCCATTTTTTGTCACTCCACTGCACCTTGCCAGCTCCTGCGTTTGGGTCACGATTGATTTCTTGAGGGCGTCAATGTCCCTGCTTACCTCGCTAATTTGAGCAGCTGCGATTTCCAGTCCGGCGTTATCAGACGCAGCCTCCTCCGGTGCAATGCGATCCATCACCTGTAGTGTAAAGGCAGTAACAGTTCCACTGAAAGAGTGCACCAGCATGTCTGGGCGGCAGGCATGTGTAATGAAGCCGGCGGCGATGGAAAGAACACTCTCATCCGTACTTCCCGACCAGATGCAAATGGGGTAACTACGATCAATCCCCTCCTCGACGTGAATGTAGAAGATCTGCACCGTGCCGTCCTGGTGACCCACCAGCAGCTCTTCTTTCTCGTCCAGGTTGATGTCGTACACAGCCAAAGCAGTGACAGCAGCCTGGCGTTCCTCGGGAATTAAACTAAAGACGCGTGAGAGGGATGTGTCCCTGTCCTTCAACTCCAGACAGCCCAGCGACCCTGCACCTGTCCCATAGTACACCCTGCGAGTTCCCTCGCTGATGCCCAAAGACGTCACAGACGCCTCACAATGCACCTCCTCTATAGATTTGTGCCCCTGCAGCATACGAATGGTGCGGTCGTTGCAGCCAAGAATACACCGGTAGTCGTCAAAGCTGCGCTCCGCCACATTCACCGCGGCGGCGGAAACGCATGACACCATGGCATTGATGCGATCTGGTGCCATGTAGAAACCGAGTTCGTTCGCCTCCCTAAACCCGGTCGCCATAAAACTGCCGCAGCAAATGATGAATGGGGTGGAGACAAAGAGTGTGTGAATGACCTCCGTCACGTTGGTGTCAAAGGAGAAGAAACGTCTGCCCTTCCGTGAGTAGGCGTCGAGCGTGCTGCCGTACACGAAAAACAGCTGGTCCTCGTACAAGGTCGCGCAACTGACGGGTTTGCTCTGGGGGGCGGTGTCAAACACCGCCACGCGCTCTGTCCCCTTCCCAATGGAAAAGACCGACATCGTGCCATTCTTCGCGGTAACCCCCACGCGCTGCTTACTCTTCTTTCCGAGCGGGTAGACGACCAGGCACCGCGGCGATGTCGAGCACACCGTCACCACCTCACGGCAAACGAACTGAATATCATGACCGGTGAGCATCGCCGTAGACGTCCCCCGCCGTTTGCATGCAAGCGAGTTCCACACAATGTCCTCTATTTTGCCCCCGCCGACTTCTCAGACTCCGCCTTTTTTTATTCTTTCGTTCTTTCTTATCGGGTGGTTTGTTGTTGATGCTGTTGTTTTCCTCCAGCATGGGTGGCAAACGAGGCCGCGGAAGAGGAATGTGTCCCCGCCACCAACCGACGAGAAAGAAACAAACAAAGCAAAATGCAACAACAAAAAAAAAAAAAAGAAGAGAGGCAGCGGAATCTCTCGCCGTAGTCACTGCCCCCATCCCTTCCGGCCCTGCGTGTGGGGTGTACAACAAAAAAAAAAAAATGCATTCACGACGATACCAACGGCCCCCGATGCAGAAAGAGGCAACTAAACAAACAAAACACACACTAAACACCATACTTCACTAACTTCCCACTCCGGCCAATCGGATGTTTCGCTTCCCGTCTATCACTGTGACTCAGCCACGTGCGTGAGTGGTGTTGTTGCTGTCACCAAAGAAACGGCGCGTTGTTTGCCCCACCGCCCCACCATGAACGCTCCCGCTGGGCACGCGAACAGTGGCAAAGGCAGGAGCTGCAGCAGTGGGCCGCACGGGATGTGCGTCGAGGGAAGTCTGCTCCGACAACTCCAAAAAATTTGAAGCTGCAGGGAATGCAGCATCTGCAAGCCGTAGGCGATGCCTGATAAACCCGGGCGCCTTCCTCCAGTCAGCGCCGGTGTGGCTTCTACTCGAAAGCAGATCAACAGACAGTGGGGGAACGGCACGCAACGACGGTGTCCGCTGACGGCCCAGCACACCTTCTAGCGCGCGAAACAGCACCTCCCTGTCCCCGTCGCAGCTGTCCACAAGGTGGGCAGAAACACCGTTGGAGCAGACGCCCTTCTCCGCCAAGAAGGCTACCACCTCCTTTTCCAACTCAGCACGATGCACCTCACTCTTCTTTGCGCGGGTGTTGGCATCAAAGAAAGCTTGGAACAGAATGCCCTCCTCAGCCGTACTCTCAAACGAGCCATCGGGCGCCCCACGCGTCCTGGCTTTTTCCAGTGTACTGAGGTGCGCCGGCTCAGGGCCGTAAATCTGCCTCAGCTCCTCGAAAAGCACGTCCTCATGTCCTGAGCATTGCCGCAGCCATTTGTGGCAGTTGGGCATGGCGCGAGGGTTATAGTGCTGGTAGAACCCGCAAAGACGTCTCCAGTGATGGTACAGCATGGTCCTGTAGAAATCGTGCGAGTGAACCAAAGCGGGGGGCGATAGGATCCCGCTCTCTTTCTCATTTTCCGGCATGAATGTGGTTCACCCCAGTGCGCTGCTTCCCACATGCACACACACAGAGAGAGATACCACATGCGTAAAGGCGCATGAGGGGAGGAAAGAGGAGTAAAGCAAGGAAGTAGGTAAAATGAATAAATAAATGGCATCCTTACAAGTCCTGACTCTGCCGTTGTTTTTTTGTATTTATTTATTTTTAATATATATATATATATATGGCACAACGTGCAGCGAGTAAATGGAGGCATCAACTTCAGTCTCCTGGCTGCAATACTCACGCAAAAAGCACAGCCGTCGCCGTCGCTACCACCCAAGCTTCAACTCAAACCGTAAACAGTCCCCGTCCCCCTCACTGTCTCCCCCTCTCTTTACCCCACCCCACCCCACCAAGTTCCTTATTTTCCAGTATAAAAGCCTACCATGTACTTCACCTTTGTATCTTTGCATACACGTAAGGCATCGTTATGCCGGGGTTCAGGCTATCTCGCTTTGGTGCGGGGCTGGGGAGCCGTGTGTATGACTGGTTCCTTGCCAAAATCCACCACAAGGCTACTGCTAAAGCGAAGACCATGACGCTTCAGCCACTGTCCCACTGTCTCCTCCGTGCCAAAAAAGTTTTGGTGGGCGTAATTTCCCTCCGCACCACTGCATGCCACAAAGTGTCTTGAGACATCTGTCAGCGTACTCGTCCCCACCTCCATCGTGGGGTCAAGACGGCTTACGGCGACAACGCCGGCGATTCTGCCAACGTCCAGCACCTCCAATGACCCATGCGTGTAGGAGCCAATGGAGATGTGCTCCGCCACATGCGGCGCCAGTCGCAAAGGTTCAACCGACTTGATCATAACATTTTCGCCCAAGATGGCGATAGAAGCTTGAATGTCTTCCGTCGTCGCCTCCACGAGCAGGTGATGGGCCTCCGTCGGATTCGCCAGGACATCACCCTTGCTGTCAAGAATCCTCTTTTGCAGTGCGTCCCTCACCTTGGCGCAGGTGTTTTGGAATTGGGCGCTACGTGCAGCAAAGTCGGTCTCGCTGCAGACAGTGATCACAGCAGCACCAAATGTGCCCCCGACGCAGGCGACGACAGAGCCGTGCTGCGTCACCCGTGACTGCTTTTTCATCGCCCGTGCCGATCCCTTCTTGCGGAGCACCTCCATCGCCTTCTCCACGTCGCCTTGTGTCTCCTTCAGCGCGGCGCTGCAGTCCGAGATTGGAGCCTCCGTGCGAAACCGGAGATCCTTCACCATTTCCAGGAAGGCCACTTTGCTGACGCTGGCCCGCAGCCGAGTCAGGCATAACATCCTCCTCCTATTTTTCTTTCTTTCTTTCAGATATAAGTATACTTGTGGCAACGATGCACCGCCACCACCGCCATACAAGAAGCAAAAAAGAAAAAGAAAAAATTTTTTAACGGCAGAATATAGAACGGAACAAAAAAATAAAATAATGAAAAAAATGAAAAAAGAGTTCGATACATGACACATTGAGATAGTCACCCGTGCAAGATACGAGTTCGTTCTCAACAAGAACAACAACAACAACACAGAAAAATAAAAAATAAAACGACCCGTTTGCTCGTCGGTTACTGTCCCCGATCTGCTTACTTCTAGTCTTCGATAGTGAAAAGTCGTCAAGCACGAGCTGGTGCGTTGACGCACTTCAATTTGCCTCTCACGCCCCACCGCACTGGGGAGAGAATCACGGCCGTCACCTTGGAAAAAGACCAAGAGAGACCCAGTAGTCCAAGCTGTCCTCCAGCAACTCCTTCGTAACCTTCGGACAACTGCAGCGAAAGCCGAGAGCCCGCAGCTTCGACCCATCGATGGCCAGAGGGTCAGCTGACAGAAGCTCCTTCTCCAGGTAGGGAGAGAGGGGAGTGACAGAGATGCCGTTTTCCTTCAACATCGCCGTCCACGGCTCCATGAGGCCCTCGTTGGCCTCCTCCGCTACTGCCCCCAAGCTAAGGGTTGCCATACCGCATATCATTGCCCCAAAAAATCCTGTCTTTACTTTAAACATGGACTCCAACACGACGTTGAGACTCCCTTGTGTTGTGTCACCGTCATCCACGACGTTGTACACCTCGTGGGTGGCGCCGGCGCACACAATGTGCCATATAGCTGCCACAACATCCTGCACATGTGCCGTATGCATGCGTAGGTCCTTTCCCCACAAGAACTCCATGTGTTCCCCTGTTTTTTCGTACACTGCGGCACAGACAATGCGTGGCATAAGACCACGAATATCGCCTGGTCCATAAACAATTGGAAGTCGCACAATCATCCAGGGGAGCTGCGAGATGGAAGAAACGACACGCTCAGCCTCAAGATGGTACTTCGCCATTGTTGTCCATGGCTTCAACCGAGTGTCTGTCTCCCTTGACGGGGAATCGTTGGTCGACGCATACACCTGGGCAGTGCTCACCTCCACGTAACACTCACATCCGCCTTCCCTGGCAGCTGTTTGTGCGCAAAGCGTTCGCAACTGCAAGATACTTCGTTCATAGACAACGTGCATGTGCCCATGCTGGGTTTCACTGGCGAGGTTCACGATAATGCTAAACGGTTCCCCAGCAAAGGCCCGATCAACGTGCCCTTGCGTGGACAAGTCAGCCTGAAGGAACTCGACGAATTTTAGCGTCAAGAGTTCCCTGTACGTTTGCGAGATAAAACACATCTCTGGCACGCGTTTGTCAACCACACGGACGTATGATGCAAGTTCGTAGTCAACAATGTACTTGAGGAGGCTCAGGCCAATCATGCCCAGGCCCCCAAGAAGCAGCACACGCGGCCCCGCTGGCATGCGTACTGCAACGTAGTCTGTGTGTGTCCCTTGTGACTAAAAGCACAAAAGTGGTGCGGCAATCTGCAAGCAAAGAAACTACGAGGAAAAAGCGTAAAGTGAGGGTTTTGTTGTGCATACCGACATACCTGGATGCGACCGCGTTTCGTCAGCCGGATAGGGTGGGCGGGGGAAACATTGGCAAGAGGCATGCAAAAAAGTGGATCTGTCTCCTCCCCCGTCCCCCAATGTACGCGAGAAGACAGAGAACACCACACAAAGTGTGTAAGGGATCGTTAAAACAAAAGGGACCAAAGAGCTACCACAAAAGAATATGCATCCGCTCAGAGCGTTCTGTCTAAGAACATATATATATATATATATAAAAAAAAAAAAAGGGAGGAACATACCGGCGCCTCTGAAAACTAACTCAGTACACACCAAAATATGACATATAATCTTGAGAAAACAAAATAGCGGTGCAGAACTCTATACATGTGCGGGCATCCATGCAGCGGTGATAACAAGCAAATATGCGTTTTTCCAATGAAACCATATCAAAGTCACCCACTCTGATAACAACAACCCTCGACTCACTGCTTAGCACCCTTCTTGGCTGTCGCATTGCTAGCCTTATCCTTTTCCCGCGGGGCAACGCTATACTTCACGCTTAGGCGCTTCTGCTCCGCCTCCAGTGGGTGGTACAACTCGGTCAAAAGCAGGGGTCTCCAGCAGCTCACTGGAAAGCCTTCCTCCAGCCACTCTTCGTACGACATGGGAGGACGAAACCGCGGAGAGGTGTTATCAGGGTAAATATGACTCGGAGACTTTGCCTTTTCTTCTTTCTTATCCTTGCCGCTGCCGCTACAGTTGTCCATAATCCTGTATGGTGGATGCATGGCCTGCAGGCGCCGTGCTACATCCCTCGTGGTGAGGCCTAAGAGAGCAGATTTATTCTCACGTATTTGTTGCAACGCGCGGGCTCGACTGCGGCGGTCCTGCACACTAAAAATCAGCTCTGTCTGGAGCCACTTCCGGCGAGGGCTTAATGGCATCGTTGCATTGCTCTCTCGCGGGTGGTACTCTTTGTCGCGTGTGCGTGTAGGTTTGCCGCGGCTCATTGCACTTTCTGCCTGTGTTTTCTATACCTCTAACCTGGCCACGTCTGGTGACGGCAAACGCATGCAACCTGAACGCAGAAAGAAAGAGAGACAAAAAAAAAAAGATAAATAACAAGTAATGCATGATAATGCGCCACGTGTGAGACCAAGCGGCATAAACACAAAGAGCCAGCCAATACAAAAACCAACTATCTGCCGTTTTCTCGTTTGTTTGTTTTCATTGTTTTACTTCTTCATCTACAAAAAATGAAGTCCTTCACGCCAGCAGGAGCATCGGCATCGTCTGAGGAATATGCACCGGTCTGCTCTCTCACATGCACGAAGAAAAAAATAAAACAATATATATATATATATATATATTACTACTTTGTTGCGTTTTTTTTTCTTCTTCTTATCCCCGTTTTTACGGCCTTCCTCCCAATCCCGTCCCTCGTGCTGCCCCTTGTACTTTTGTTGGTCACTGCACTTACTGCGAGACGGGAATGGCAGGGGGCACAAGCGGAAGTCCCGGGAGTACTTTTGTTCGTGGCACCCGGACCCGCGGCGGTGGCACGGCGGCGGGAAGTTGCGCCAGCGGCGGCGACGGCGTGACCTGCTGCCCGTTGATCCAGAAGAACGCCCGCCCGTCCCAAGACGCGGAGGCAATCGCGTTAGGCACAGCCAGCGACCACTCAAGACCAACGACAAACTCACGATGGTGGGCGTAGCGGCCAGTGAGGGGACGCTGTGGCTGGTTGAGATCCCAGATGCAGACCCGGCAGTCGTAGCCAGCCGACGCCAGCAGCACGCGCGAGTGGGGTGAGAAGCGTACACGACGGCAGGCGTTGTCGTGCCCGGGAAGGGAAGCAAGGGGCTGAGTTGGCCGGCGAAGGTCCCACAGCCGCACTGTACGATCCACACCGCCAGTGGCAAAGATGTTCCCGTCGTACTTATTCCAGTCAATGCTGAGAACAATCTGGTAATTGTGCCCAGCCTGCGTCAGAACAGAGCGCGGTGCACGCGTGTCCCACAACTTCCATGTGCCGTCCCCAGAGGCCGACAAAAACGATGCGGGGTTGCGTGTGGAACAAGAAACTTCATACACTTCCTTCACGTGTTCGTGAAAGGTCATGGCCGACACAGTCGGGTTGGCCGCCTGGTACAACTTCACGGAGCCATCCCAGCTGCAGGAGAAGAAGCTGTCACGGTTCCAGGTCACTCCCGCCACCTCTGCTTGGTGCTCTGCGATAT